ACACACACAGAGCATACCTCTCGAACTTTAATCATACTATTTTTCACAATTTGTCTTCAGAAATCCAATATCAAAATAATCTCTGTTACTCCCATCGACTGTTTAGGCGTTAATCCACCGTAGGCGACACAAGAAGGAGTGAGAAAAACTACTTATTGAAGTTCATATTTACGTAAGAGAATACACATTATCTCTATTAATTTCTTTTTTAAAGTCACGAATACAAGCGCACTTTATTTTCAGTCGTTTTGCCTTGGTTACGGTCCTATTGCGTAAATGTCCAATTTGTAAGTACAGTTTCCTAAACTCAAATGTCCAATTCGTTATCCGCACGAGTAACTCGTCCATGAACTTTGGAGCTCGCTCATCTGTCTACTTACATCTGCATAAAGGACTCACTTATTGGCCTTGCATCAAGGCTGGGCGGCTGCGATCGCGGTAGTGGCGTCGGTTGATCGGCGCGATAGGTGGCAGACAAAAGTGGACGAGTTGCTGCCACGCCGCCATTCCTTTCGAAAGTTGTCATTTCCTTCTCAATAGGTCGTTGTCGACGTTTTCTGCAGCAAATTCTTTCCTCACTGGAATTTATAAAATGTTGAAATGTTCACTTACAGCATGAAAACTGCAATTAGCGCGACAGTAAGAAGAATTAGGAAAATTCCAGTGAGTATTCCGAGTATTATGGTGGCTGTACGGTAGCCGGTGTCTACCACACTCTAAAAAAACGTAAAATAGTTCTTTACAGGTGAAAAAATGAGAAAGAGAGCACTTACAGCCGTATATGGATCCAAAACGCCTCCATCCTCATCCTGACAATAAGTGTTCTCCTTCACACCCCATGGACAGTTCTTGCAATGGTCAACCTAAAGGTAAATTACTTAGTGAAGATATAGTACGCTTAATTAAGCCTTGTACCTGCCCTCCATTCAAATAACTGCAGACGGAGAAGAATCCTGTAGTGTTCGAACGACAAGCGGCCACACTCGGACTGATCGATGACGGAGTACAAGTCAAATCGCAATTTGGGCCAATCAAGGTTCCGGTGCAAGAAATGGAATAGGATAAGTAGAGCCTGAAAAAGCCATATGCGATGGAAAATTGTGGAAACGTAGGTTTTAAAGAATA